TTTGTAGGCTGGAATTCCAGTATAGCTGGATATGCACAAAACAATCATTTCTCTTCAAATTAACTCACACCATTGAATAACAGAAGGTGTTAGGTAATTGTAACGTTTCAGGCTGCACCAGAAGCCTAACAGGTCATACTTTTACAAACAATTACATTTTGTAGCAATTATACATGTGTTTAAACTGGTTCTGTCATGGTGAAAACCCTTAAACCACTTCAAGTATAAAGCTCAGGCACCTAGAGATGCCTGTACATACCTGCAGAAGAGATGAGCAAGCTTGTCAAAAAGGCCTGTTTCGCCCTTGTACCAGTAGTTTTAGATTCCCCCAATGTAGTCAAGAACAGCAGGGAAGAACTGGTAGGATAGCAGAACCATTCCCATTCTAGCCAAAAAAGTGAAAAAAGGCTTTGGGTAGATGTCTTCTATAAATCTGAAGGATGTGTTCATTTATAGCACTTATCAGTAGTTGAGGGGGGCTCACCACCAGCACTATGGAGTAATACAAGCAGTGGAATTAAGAAATTAATTCATTAGTCATAGCCCTCCGTATTATTATTATACAGGATTTATATAGCGCCAACACTTTGTGAAGCGCTTTACAATATAGGGAAGGCATTACAGTTACAATACAAATCAAGACAAGATGGTAAGGAGGGCCCTGCCCTTGAGGGCTTACGATCTAAAAGGGAGGGGGAAGTGATACATGAGGAGGTAGCTGTGTGGGGATGAGTTGTTTGAGAACGTGATGATGCTTGTCATTGAATTCCTAACCTTTAAGATAAATAGGTACATGACCCTGAGCCTTTAGATGTACCATGTCATTTTCCTCATTAGACTTCCTTTTCTCATTTCCCCATCAGACCCTTTCACTCCCCCCTCCAATAAGTCGAGGAGTTCTTCCCCTCATCCTAAAGTCCATGAACCCATCGCACTCAGAAACCGCAGTTTCCAAAGAAACAAGGGTGGGTGCTGCGGTAGTCGACGGCTGGCAAACGTGGTAGATATCAAGTAGAGTATGAAGAGACACCGGCACTCCAATAGTGTCTTGTTTATTTGACGTACGAGTGGCATAGTGTGATGCACTTAATGTGACGACAAGTTCTGCCTGATGAAGGGGATCCTGTGTGACCCCAAAACGTTGTATTGAGTGCATCACACTATGCCACTCATACGTCAAATAAACAGACATATTTGATTCACTTTTAGCACTCATACGATATTATTGGGTTAGCATAATGAAGGAAATGTATCTGGTTCACGCGTTGTTCTAGACACATTCATTCATAAACACAAAATGTAACTTACTTGATGTAAAGTGTTATAATTGATTCTCTCTTTTTGAGGACGTGTCATTTTTATTCTGCCCGTTTCATCCTTCTAATTCTGCTGTTTGTCTGTACCGCATACTTACATTGATAATGTGCGTTTACTGGACTTGTTTTGCTCTTCAACAAAAACACAGTTAAAAAAAATAAAGAATTAAAAAAAATAAAGAAATGATTCTCAAGGCCCTTCATTCTACCTTTGTACAAGCAGCACAGTGATGGAGTGGTTAGTGCTTCTGTCTTGCAGCACTGGGGGTCCCCGGTTCGAATCCTGGCCAGGACACTATCTGCAAGGAGTTTGCATGTTCTCCCTGTGCTTGCGTGGGTTTCCTCCGGGTACTCCGGTTTCCTCCCACACTCCACAGACATGCTGGTAGGTTAATTGGCTCCTGTCTAAGTTGGCCCTCTATGTATGCATGTGAGATAGGGACCTTAGATTGTAAGCTCCTTGAGGGTAGGGACAGATGTGGTCAATCTCAGCAGGAGAGAACTAGTAAGGTAGCAGTACCGTTCCCACCATAGCCAGAGTAAAAAAAAAGGCTTTGAGTGGAGGTCTTCATTAAAATTGAAGGATGTGGCAATACCCTGTTTCCTGAACATGAAGTTAGACTGGACTTTTATGTTATTTAATGGATCACTATAAATCACGGATGTTTGTTTGAGAGGTTTGTCTAATCATATAGAGGTTATATCACCTCAACCACTTTGCACAAAGTGATTGCACACTACAGTCTTTATTAATTGTTTTTCACTGTTAATATTGCTTTATACAGTTATCACAATTACAAGAGACCATATGGTCTTCTCATCTTATTTACACAGTAAGATTTACTCACAGTTTTAGAAGAAAAGTCTTTTCTTCTAAAACTGTGAGTAAATCTTAGCATCTTAGCATTTTGCACTGATCACTGCTTTTTGAGTATTACTTGATTTATTAAGATATTTAGTTATTTAGGGTTTTTAGCGCCGCAAAATCTCCTTTAAAATTTATTTTATTTTATTTATACTGTCAGCATGTGCATCTTAGCCATTCCCATCTGAAATAGACCCTGCTGAATACCATGTGATCCGGTTCAATGCATTAGCACAAGAAGTATTTGAATAAAAAGGACTGATACCATGACAATAGCAATTTACGTTTTTAATATATTAACAGACATTACTGTATAAATGACTTTGCCAGTGGTGGACGTTAGGCAAGTAAAGTAAATAAAACATACAAACATGTTCATACAACCTCCTTGGCATCATTATCACTAACATGCTTACTGCAGGGAATATCACAACAAATGTGTCATCATCCCTTATTGCATTTCATTAAAGGAGAAACAATAAAACAGGCTTTAAAGATACTGCCACTATAAAACGACAAACTGTCAAGCGGCAGACCACATGGGAATTAAAAGTGCACCTGTCACATACGCAGCTATTTTGTGAGCCGAACCAGAATTTGCAAGGACATAAACGAAGCATTTGCAACAATGCAAATGGATGTTATGTGATGCTGTTTGCCATGTCTTTTTAGTGTAGTTCTCTCATGGTGATTTCCGATGCCACAAAATCTCTGCCACTAGTATGTTCAGGACACAATTACTTTACATGAACACTGAGCAAAACACAGGATATTATGAAGTGCCTTCAAAAGCCTCAAGGAGGCAGCAGTGCTGTGGAGTAATGGTTGACATTGTTAGGCTGAGGTCAGGCAGCAATCGTCTGCATTTTATTTTTAAACTAGTCCGTCCACATACATGTCAAGTTTAGCAACTCTAGCAATGCTGAAGTAAGGACTAGTCTCGTTCTAACTTTAGGTACCTATTCCACTGCGACCTATATTATTTGAGCACCTCAGTTTATACCTGTATGCTTCAGGCCATAAGCTTCCCTTAAGTGCAATATTATTACATGAGCTACAAACGAGTAACTTAAAAAAAATAATAATAATGAAACAACGCACAACTGTGTCATAGAATAAAAAAAGAGACAGAAAGCTTTTCCTCCGGGTTGTCAACACACTCAGTTGGATTTAAATAACAGAAAACTAAAGTTTTACTTTATTTTGCAGTCACCTTTCATTTATTAAAGTGTACCTGTCACTAACCAACGTGGAGGCAGCCATTTTGAAGGTCAAACCAATATTCGATGAACTTGGTGTGTTCTGGTCAATATTTGTTCACGTTACAAAACGGCTGCTTCCAGGGTGCCTGTGAGACGATGGTTACATCTTAAATATTTGTAAAATACACTGTATAAAAAACATCTGCTAAAATGACTACCGAAACTGTAGGAAGCTATGGGCCCTGGTAACTAAATGCTGTTTTCTTAAGGCATGTTTATTTAAACTACACAATACAAATGACACCTACAAATACAAGGGTATCCTGCAATAGAAAATTAATTCTAATTCTTGGTAACTGAAAATTTGCTAGTCAGCACCTATTATATGAAACTAGTAAGGCAACAGCAGTGGTATAAACTACAGTAATACTTTGTGTATCCACGGTCTATAGCAAGGTGACATGAGCACACAATAACTGAATCTCTTCCCTCATTCGGTTTTCCGAGCCCTGAAGAGGCATCAAGCAGCAGTTACTGTTCTGGGCTCTCTTTGCTTACCACAAATATAAATACACTGACACTGACAACATCTTGAGTATTTTCGATGCATTTCTCTGTGAACAGGGTGTCAGTGTGTCCAGACACGTGTGTTCTCCATAGACAGCACTTATCTCCATGGTGAAACGTACATACCCAGGAGCTTATCAAATCAGCCACACTAAGATGAAGGAGGGTGCATCAAAAGACTAAGGAGTAGGAGCGCTTACTGCTACCGTCTTCCATAACATTAAAGGCATTTTATATAAATGTCCATGAAACTGTAATATTTTAAATATAGAACAAAATATGATCTACGGACTGAAGTTAATTCTAAAATTGTGGAATAACTACTTGGGTGCTGAGGGTCAAATATTCAGCTCTGATATATAAGGCAAAGTAGCTAATATTTGTGAGTGCACCAAAGCATGAGAGAAACAAACTATTTGGCTAATCCAATCCAATGCAGGCTGAAGAGTGGCTTCAATTGATGTGATTAGGATAAAGCTGGGACATTGGATACATGTGGTACATTTTCACATATGCTGGGGAGAATATCCCAGCACACGGTTACACTCAGGCCCTTTAGCTGTTCTGGGAAATAATATAGCTGCCAGATTTCTAATTAGGGTCAGGCTCTATTGCTACTGGCAAAGCTACCTATCCATTTTGGAAGAACATGGTTCACGAGAAAGCTGTATAGTCTAGACTACTGTGGCTGTATTGTGCCTGTAAATCTCCAGCAGCCCACCCTAACTATCAAAAATGTCTGAAGGTAGAACTGTTCTCATTGCCCAAAAATGCTAAACAGATTCTATGTCTAATATTAATAAGTGCTGTGTGGGGGAATCTATCTAGCTACAGGCAACAAGAAGAGTTCTTCCTCCAGACATCTCAGATCAGAATGTCCAGTGTTACCTACTCGAGGTTTGTTGTTCAGAAACAGCTGGGAAGCCAACACACTCACAGAGGGACATCTTAAACAAATAGCTGGTCAGGAGGGCAATAGCAGGAAAATCACAGGCTGCACAAAGCTGACTTAGAGAGCAACACTAAACAATAACTGCTGCTAGTGGTGTGAGCAATTTTCTATGTCTTCTACGGCATAGTTATAATGGCTGAAATTTGTTAAGACCTACGTTAATCACATTATATTAACTAGGAACAATTACAGTAGCTGTAAGGGTATCACAGCACAGACTCTTCCGTGCTTTCAATCTGATGTTGTATCCTCTGGCGTAGTGAAATGGCTGTCGGGTTTTCTGTTCAATCCCTTGTTTGTTTACGCTGCTTGACATTGTCCTCCAGCGATGAAAAGCCATTTGTGTGACCGTTCACTGCACTCACGGACCCGTTCTGGTAATCTTTCCTCTTAGAAGAAGTTTTCTTGCTGTAAGTCTGGGAAAAAAACAACACAACTTTATCTTGCTTCTGTTGGAGGTTTTTTTGGGTTAGTTAATAAATAATGGACAACGCTATCTGAGAAATACAGGATATAGAAACACAAGTTTTACCAAAGACGTACATAGACAAGACCTACTTGCATTTTTTCTCCTGCAAAGGTACAATAAAATAGTATTCCTTCAATATTGAGAATAATCCGACCGTAAAATGAGTTTTTGACTTGGAGCAAGCTTTTAAAAACGATATTCCCTTAGATTCTTTGTTAGGTAGTTTGGAATCAGCAATGGCTGTTATCTCATGTAAACAGCAAACAAGTTGAGCTAAATTACATATTAGGGTCATTTCACTAAACCATAACCCTTGCAGTGTTCGTTACCATGCATTATTTGCCAGGTTTAAAGATTCAATTTTTTTCAAAAACATACTGTAAGTCCTTGAATGGACTAGCTGGAGAAGTATTGCAGCAATGTGAATACATTCTAATGAAAGCGCCAAACGAATGAACTGGGTTCTGTAGCAAAGCACGACAGACGGCATGATCAGAAACACAGGGATGGGACCTATGTTTTCAAATGATTTTATGGTGAGTACAAAAGTTCTCTTTTCTTTCTCACTGAAGGATGCACAAAGTTTATAACCTTCGGGACGTTTGAAGTGAAGATCAGAAGAGACATTGTCCCTTGAAGGCCACGCGGATCAAATGCTTCCTACTTGAAGATTTCGAGGCCAGTATTTTAGCCGAAGTGCCCTAAGCTTATGCACTGACATTAGGCACATGTGAGTGATGAGACGGAGGCCCAGCTAAAATATAATGCTACAGCCATCTGTTCCACCTGTTCAATAGTCAAAAAAGAATAACTGCAGCAGAGGCTAGATCTCTTTTAAATGGATTTGGACCAGTCAGGTATGGCTTGTCAAAGTAAAATCACACCTAGATCGAGTGAGTGTAGAGCAGGACCCGTTAGTTAAAACATAGCTCTGCAAAAAGCTTCTAACCGCTATTGGTTGGGTCCTTAAAAACAGGTGCATTGTCCACATGTAGAGTAGGTGCCTTGTCAGCAAATACCTGGGTGATTTGGGTCATATAGTCTTACACGACTGAAGTAAAGGCTTCAGCCGAAGAGCAAAGTACCCAACCAAACCCAGCGGAGCTAAAGAGGACTCTGAGGTTTGGACAGACTCTAACAGCAGAAGACAGTGTTACTCCAGAAGTCAGCATGGCTGCAGTGTGGTAAGCCAACATATAGACTCAGGGTAAAAGGTATGGTCTCAAGTACTCACAAAACACCAAGAACTGGCAGCAGGTGGAAGATCAGAAGGCCTGAGGTGACCAAAGTCACTGAAGATGGGCAGCAGAAATGGCTTGAAGAATAAAGTTCCATGTGGCTCTCTGTAGCAAGAGAGCACGGAGAACACTTGTGTAACACTCCACCCAGCGGATGACATCAGCGCTCAGTCCCAGAGCGTTAACCACTTTTGCAGCAAAAAAATGGCGGGAATGGGAAAATGGCGCCAAACAACTGATAAAGAAGGAAGTAGCACCCGGTGGTTGACCTAACTAGACTACTCAGAAAGTGTTCGCACACAGGTTAAGAGCAGAAGCAAGGCCAATGGCTCTGGACCTGAATGCACTCCGCAACTTTCACCAGAATGGAGTCTAAAAAGTGCCCGAAGGTGACACCCAGGCTCTCTCTGCATTGTCTGGCAGGGTCCAGATGTGGTCTTCTAAAAGTCAAGCTGAACACAATGCACCCGAAAGCTGTCAATTGGAGGTAAAACCGCCAGCAGCAGTGTAGAGAAGTGTCTTGATTGCAGGAAAAAAGAAAAAAGTACTAACGAAAAAAACAGGTTAGGCTTTACAGATGCAGAGCTGAAGAAAAGATGCCTGTCCTCCTATAGTACAAGCAACAAACTGAGGTATGCTGTTCCTAGGGGGTTACCCTTGCCTGGCATACAGTTCCTTGTTTTCCAGTCCTCCTGTAGGTGGCAGTATAACCCTGAGTTTAAAGACTTCTTGTGTTCCTTATTGGATAAGAAAGAAAAATGCTTTCTGCTGATCAATATTTAATGCAAACATTCAAAAATTGGACACCTAAACAATGTGTGCAAATCGACCATTTAAAAGAGAAAATTGTCATGATGTATAATAAAAACACACTCAAAAATAACTCAATAGTGAATTGACCTTACTGTGACATAATAGTTGTACATTAGTGCAGCACTGGGTTTACCTTAATGTAGAAATTGCCAAAGAGGATAATCAGAGAGATCATGTAGCAGTTCTGGAAATACAGCCAACCCATGGGGAATGCACAGGGCCAAATCATCGCACAGCTGGTCTGGGTCATTGTCAGGACAAATTGAGTCTGCGGCAAAATAACAAAAATTGCAGAGAGTCACATACAAAACACTAGTTACCACCAGATTGTGAGCAGAGAAAAACGAATACAAGATATATACAAGCTATTCTTCAAAACTGACTTGGTGCACTATGACTCTGCATTCATTTTCAATACATCCAGTGCACTACTCACTTATT